CAACATCGCTATGTTTAGACAACAAACAAACAAGTTAAGGTTGGGTTGGGTTAGATTATTATTATTTTTTTTATTTTAATGTAAATCGTATTTTTATTAATACCTTCTTAATCTACGCAAAAAATCACGTAAAATGAGTACCAACATCGCTATGTTTAGACAACAAACAAAAAAGTTAGGGTTGGGTTAGGTTGGGTTGCAACCTAACCTAACCTAACCCCCTCTTAAAATGTCCTGAAACGTCCAAAAAAGCAAAAAAAATTTTTGAAAATTTCAAAGAAAAAAACAAAAACTTGGAAAAAAAAACGCAACCCAAGCCAACCCAACCTCCTCATAAAATGTCATTTTCTCGGCGGGAGGCGAATTGGAGGGGGTAAATTCATTAAAACTTGTTGATCTAAATCCAAAGTTAAATCGAATGGCAAAATAAAAAAGGGGGGCAGTACTGAAAAAAAAAATGCCCCCCCGGGAGGCGAAATGTACAAAATTTTTTTTTGGATATTGAAGGGCGTAAAAAAATAGTGGTTTTGAAAAAAAAAAAGGGGGTTATCAAACTTCATAAGAAAGTTATGGCCAAAAAACGAAAAAAATTCATCAGTAAAGGGGGTCTTGGGGGGGGGGATGGAACTCCCTCGACCACAAAAATCGATTCTCCGTCCTCGAAATACCCTAGTTTCCTATTTTTTAGACGTCGCCCCTGTACCAACCAAACCTATTTCCCAACCCTCTCTTGAAATGTCCTGAAACGCCTAAAAATGCAAAAAAACTCAAACCCAACCAACCCAACCCCTTTCGAAAATGCCCTGAAATGCCCAAAAATGCAAAAAATATTCAAGTTTTAAAATTTTTCAAAGTCAATTTCCCAGTCCGGGGAAAATTGTAGGGGGTAAGTACATATAAAACTTTTTGTTCCTCGCCAAAAGTACTATCCGATGAGCAAATAAAAAAAGGGTATCCCTGCAAAATTATTTTTATTAAAAATTTTAGTATTTTAGTTTTTCAAAGTCAACTTCCCAGTCCGGGGAAAATTGTAGGGGGTAAGTCCATATGAAACTTTTTATTTCTCACCGAACATACTATCTGATAAGCAAATTACAAAGGAGGATATCCCTGCAAAATTATATTAAAAATTTTTTCAAGTATTTTAGTTTTTCAAAGTCAGTTTCCCAGTCCGGGGAAAATTGTAGAGGGTAATTCCATATAAAACTTTTTGTTCCTGGCCAAAAGTACTATCTGAGAAGCAAATAAAAAAAGAGGGTATCCCTGCACAATTATTTTTATTTAAAAAATTTTAAAGTATTTTAATTTTTTAATGTCAATTTCCCAGTCCGGGGAAAATAGTTGGGGGTAAGTCCATATAAAACTTTTTGTTCCTTGTCAAAATTACTATCCGATGAGCAAATAAAAAAAGAGGGTATTCCTGCAAATTTAATTTTATTCAAAAAATTTCCAAGTATTTTAATTTTTCAAAGTGAATTTCCCAGTCCGAGGAAAATTGTAGGGGGTAAGTCCAAATAAAACTTTTTGTTCCTCGCCAAAAGTACTATCCGATGAGCAAATAAAAAAAGAGGGTATCTCTGCAAAATTATTTTTATTTAAATTTTTTTTAAGTATTTTAGTTTTTCAAAGTAAATTTTCCAGTCCGGGGAAAATTGTAGGGGGTAAGTACATATAAAACTTTTTATTCCTCGCCGAAAGTACTATCTGGTAAGCAAATTAAAAAAGAGGGTATTCCTGCAAATTTATTTTTATTTAAAAAAATTTTAAAGTATTTTAATTTTTTAAGTCAATTTCCCAGTCCGGGAAAAATTGTAGGAGGTAAGTGCGTATGAAACTTTTTGTTCCTCGCCAAAAGTATTATCCGATGAGCAAATAAAAAAAGGTATTCCTGCAAATTTATTTTTATTCAAAAAAATTCCAAGTATTTTAATTTTTTAAAGTCAATTTCCCAGTCCGGGGAAAATTGTAGGAGGTAAGTGCATATAAAACTTTGCAATTTTTTTTTGCTTTTTTTAGACGTTTCAGAGCATTTCAAGAGAGGGTTGGGTTGGGTTGGGTTGCAATTTATATTTTGCTTTTTTAGACGTTTCAGAGCATTTTAAGAGAGAGTTGGGTTGGGTTGGGTTGCAATTTTTTTTTGCTTTTTTAGACGTTTCAGAGCATTTTAAGAGAGAGTTGGGTTGGGTTGGGTTGCATTTTTTTTTGCCTTTTTTGGTATTTTAGGGCATTACCAGAAGGGGTTAGGTTGAGTTGGGTGGCATTTTTAAAAAAAAAATCGCCTTTAAGGAATTTTCGGAAGGGATTGGGTTGGGTTGCATTAAAAAAATTAAATTAGGACCAAAATCAGATTCTATTGAAAATGCTATAAGAAACATATAAAAAATTATCTGTCTTTTATCTGGTTCCTATCTGTTTAATATAATATATTATGTTTTTGAAACAGGCATTGCACTATTAAACCAGATAGAAGTTTGTACATATAAAAAACGATATTTACATATAGGTCCGTACATGTAAACCATATAGAAACAATTTCTATATGGATTGCCATATTTAACCATGTAAGAAAACCTATCAGGAAAGACATACCTATAGCACAGAAACCAGATAAAACCATATAAATGACTTTAATTCCATATTTTATCACATCTAGCACAGAAACCAAATAGGTAAATCCATATAAGTTCTTTTAAGTGGTAAATGGAATTCACTATTTAATCATATAGATGTCATAATGTAAACCAGGATGTTTCATATAGGACCTTATAAAATCGTATAAAACCGAATTCGTTTCCTTAGTGGTCACTTGGGTATCAGAAAACCAAAACTAGTTTGTATCGATCTAATAATAATTATAATTTACCTTCCTCCTCCCTTTATTACATATATATAATTTTAGTAGATAAACTACCAAAAAACAATTTAATAAAAAAGCTTATTTTTGTATTTAATTTATTAACAAATATGCAGAAAGAAGTTTATTGGGTGTTTTAAAGTTAAATAAATTGATTTCTGCGTCGCAGTGGAGTAAAAACGTTTATTATTGTCTTTAATATCCCCTCAATATTTAACTTTCCAAATGTCCTGGAAGTCACCATTATTCATTTTTGGTATGTCTTGGAAGTAATCAAAAGTCAGTTTTTAGGATATGTCTTGGAAGTCATCAATACTCAGTTCCAAGACGGTCCTGGAAGAAATCATTATACATATGGCACTTCCAAGACCGACCCGGAACACGTCACATGTCTCGGAAACAGTCAATATTCAGTTGTACTTGTCCCGGAACACGTCGACTTACATATATATATATATATATATATATATATATATATATATATATGTTTTATAATTTAACCTTTATTATTTTTAAAACTACAGCCTATGTGATAATATATAGATTATCGCATAGGCTGTACAAAAATATGTACATATATTACCCGATTGGTGAAGTTTTTTACCTCCTAGTCTGTTAAAAACCCCTTTGAATCAATCAAAAAAAATAATAAATTTTAAACGTATACTTTTAATGTTTATTGGTGTACCATATATAATTGTACATTTAACAAAGATAATGCGGCTGAGAAGTGTCTTTTTGTGCTTTACTCAAACTTTGAGCTCAGCACGAAAAGACTCAGGGCCGATTTATCCATTAGGCAGCTGCCTAGGGCGGCAAAATTTTTAATGAAAATATTATCCGAAAATTTAAAAAATTAATCTTAAATACGCATTTTGTAATTCTGTGGGTAAAAGGCATAAGGGGATAAGTCAAAAAAAAGCAATACAACTACGATATTTGAATAGCTATCGGTGTCAGCCTTACTTACTTAAAATTGTATGTAATAATAATGCAATAATAATAAGATAAAATGAAAATCGAAACATTTCACGTTATCATCGATGTACTCCTGGCCCAACTAAGCGTCTTTTTAGATCTCCCAGGAGTCCTGGAAGATCTAAAAAGACGCTTAGTTGCTTACCAACGTATTTATGAGCGATTTTATGTCCACAAATTTGTGTAACTTGGAAAATGAATCAATAGTTAAAGAAGGACAAAAGTTAATAAACATTTAAAATTATTTAGATACTTCGTTTATTCAAGAATGCATTCATTTAAAAGCGCTTTTATAAAAAAAACAATAAATCTCCTTTGGAAATATTTAAAAAAAATGGATTAAAAGAAACATTCCCCAATTTCGACATAGCATGTCGAATTTACTTGCTTCATCTGAAAGATCATTTTCAAAACTGTTAAGGATTAAAAACAATTTTAGATCGACCATGAAGCAAGAACGTCTAAATGCCCTCTTCATTTTGTCTTTGGAATGCTATGTCACAAAAAATATAAGTTATGATGAAATTATTAACAATTTTTTCCAAGAAAAGTCAAGAAAAAAACCCTTTTAAATATTTTATTTTTTATTTAGAATTATTATTTGTCTTTGTATTTGTATATTTTTATTGCCACTAATCAGTGTTAAAAAGTTGTTTTTAGAGTTGAAGATCTTTTAAAATAAAAATTTTTACTTGTTCTTTTATTAGTGGAAGGGGGCGGCAAACAAATGTGCCTAGGGTACCAATTTGCCTTAACGCGGCCCTGAAAAGACTTACTTCTTAGCGTAATGACAAATATATAAATACTATACTTAGAAAATGTACCTAATTGCTCTAATATTAAAAACCCCCTTTAGGAATAAAATAGGTGCTTGGATTAAACAAGTTTGGAAATAAAGATTTTATCATACTTTAAATAATTTAAATAATAATGGTTAACTTCTATGCTTTTTTAATATTTTTTCTTTATTTTTAGAAGTCTTAAGGACGGAAGCTAACCGCAGAAATATCTAGGGATAAAAGAACAATTCGGATTTGGGAGAATCGAGTGCGATGCCACGAGATATTATCTTAAACTCAATAAATATTGATTATTAACTTCATCGGAAATTCACCGTCGACCTCAACCTATGTAAATCACACACGCGTCGTGGCAGGGATTCGTAATAATGAAGCAGTTTTTATTGCCGTTCGTGTGCCATCTGATTTTATCTGGACTATTGCAAGGTAATCTGTCTTTGTCAACTATTATGCTTATGAATTATTATGCTTATGAATTATTAAAATACAATTCCAATTCAATAAAATCATCTTTTATATACCAATTTATAACAAAATAGTCAGAAGTTTTTGTATATTTTTATTTTACGTTTTATGTATTGGGAGTTTTCTATGATAGATATACCAATAGTTATACTTAAAATATTAAAATTTTATCAAATATAATTTTACTTACAAGTCTGGATTTTTCATTTTAATTTTATTTACAACAAATGTCAAAAATGTTCAACTTAAATTTTAATTGTTGGTATTAACTTGTAACATTTGTTCGCTGCATGTTTGTTTTGTTACCGCTATCTAGGATATTTTGTAAAAAGATATTAAGAATCTCTGAAATATATAAAAAATAATCACTATCTGAAGCCACTACGGCTTTAACGAAGCTAATGAATTGTATTAATTTGATGGGTCGGAATTTGTCCCAAACGGAGTAAGTGTATAATTTAAGACAAAGCGTCGCTTTTTAGTTGGGTTTGGAAATTGCCATTGGGAGGACGTCACTTTTATGAAAAATCGACGCGTCCTTAATTTGCCATTTCACTCACAACTACCCAACTCACAGTATTATTACGTTTAACCAACCTGTTCCAAGAGTTTGTGTTGTTATGGAAAGACCGTGGTAACTGGTTAGTAATATGTGGCCAACTAATCTTTTAAAGTTTATCATCTAACATTTTTCCTGAATTACAGTACGTACAGTACCAACGCTAAAACATAAACGAATATTATAATTTAAATAAACTTTATATATTATACACTGTTCAAAATTTCATGACCAATTTAACACCAAATTAACACCATACGTGGTCTATATCGATACAAACCAAAATGGTGTTAAATAAGGTTCGTTGGTCCGGTGTCAATTCAAATACTAAAATGGTGTTAAATGAGGTTCGTTGGCGGTGTAAATTCAAATACTAAAATGGTGTTAATTTAACTTTCACACAGTATTAAAATAAATTTTATCTGGTGTAAATTGAACTCCTTTTCAGTGTTAAATATTATGTGTTTGTGGTCAAATTATCATACTACACAGAAGAAAGGAAAAAAAAGGAAACAGGAAGTTCCCTGACGCATTACTAGTATATTACCAGTGGTATTATTCCAGAAAATGAAACCTTCAACTCGCTAGAGATAATGTTTTTAGTGCGTTCCACTAACTTAAAATACTTCAAGTATTGACAGCTGTTTCCACCTATTTAAGGTCTCTTTAGTATCGAACAACTTGTAGTGTCACACCAAAGCAAAGGATTACCTAAGTTTATATATTCTTCATGTAAGTCAACAGAGGCGAGATTTAAGAACATCACGTGATCCACAAAAATATAACTACTTATGGGTCAACTGGGTTAAATGAACTATCCCTTTTTTTCTGGGTAGGTGCACTTCTCAAATATTTTTAGATAAACACCGTTTTGGTGTTCATTTTCAACCCTAATTCATGGTGTTATATTAACACCATTTGGTGTTGGATTTTGACACCATTTTAGGATTACTTTTTACACCGCAGATATTTTAAACAGTGTAAGATAAAAAATTTAGAAAATACGTTTATTTGGATAAATCCCATTTTTTATGAATATTTTCTAAATCCGTCATTTCGAGCCATAATAATTAGTGGCTTTGAACAAATTAAAACAAAAACTTTTAACCCTTTCAATACTTTTCGGAAATTAATTTAAAACTTTTTTTTTAGAGTTAAAACTATATTTAGGTTAAAAATAGTTAATTGAGATTTTTAACTTTGGTGGTATTTGAAAAAAAGGCCTGGAACAGATTTATCCCTGCAGTAATATGCCCTGGAATATATTTATCCCCACACTAAAGAAATTCTACTATTTTTGAAAATGTTTATTATCAAAAAACATTGATGGGATTTATATAAAACTATCCCCTGTCATATTACTGCAGGGATATTTTTGTCCCAACGTATATTTTGAGGAATGAGTTTTGACGTACAATGCACATGAAGTATCACAAAAATTCAAGCAAAATTTACACAAAAAATGCACAAAATAGGTTATGTGACTGGTCTTTTTCAATTGCGAGCGTGCAATGGCCAAAAAACAGCTGGTTATTGTTCACGTGACGTTAAATAAATTAAGTTTTTATTACTGATATCCCAAGTCAAGACCAGGGTGGAAGAAGGAGGTGATTAAACTCCGTCGTTGAAGGCGGCCAGATAAGTCAGTATTTGTTAAAAATCAAAATAGATGGCGCCAAAAATAAGAACCTATTTATTTTTTTAAATCCCGGTGCACAACAAACTTTTTCCATTTTTAGTAAAATTGCATTGATTAACTTCAAAGAATAGACTACTAAGCTTAATTAAAATTCAAATAAAACCATTTCAACGTCACTTTTGTGCGTTTGTGGCGACTGTGCATTTTGGCAGAGCAGTTGGCAATACTACAGTATTGCCAATCGTTTTGCAAATTATTATAATAATGATAATAATGCTGTAAGAAAAGATGTAATTTTCGTTAAGGAGGGTAGAAGACTCTCCTTGGGTTTTCGTTATCTTATAATTTGTTGTTAAAAGTTAAGTTGTTGTAGAATAAATGGTAAAACCTTAGGTTCTTAGTTGACTCGCCATCTAACGAACAACGAACGAAATACTGACTTATCTGGACGCTTGCTTCTGTTCTGTAGAGATAGGATCTATATCACCTTCTTCTTCCACCCTGGTCAAGACAAAGAAATACTAAATTGTCTCGACCCTGTTTTATTTAAACGCACTTTATTAAGTAGAGAAATTTTTTAATTTTCTATGGGACGTATATATCCTCGCAGTATTGAAAGGGTTAAATCACAATATGATAACATCTATTTTTAGATATACAATTATACTATCGCTAACAAAAAAAACTCATACAGCTTAAAAATCTAGTGTTCCTGATTTTCTATCATTTTGTTGGAGTAATTATGGCTTTTAACATGATACGTCACATTTGAAAGGTCTAAAATTAAATACAAAGTTAGGTTGAAGTTTGAAAAAAAAAATAATATTTCGTCATCCCTCTATTTTTGTCAATTACTGCCCGCAAACGGCAAAGCATGGAAGTCGCTGTCTTGCTTTATCTCGTTCCAAATGGCTTCAATAGCTTTCCAGAGTTCGTCTGCATTGTTTGGTTGAAAATGTTGTTAAAAAAGTCATAATGGATGTGACAAAGCTCGATGTCAGCTTGACATTGACGGAAAAGTTTTATTTACACAGCCACAATATAGCTGTATGAGTTTTTTTTGTTAGCGATAGTACATTCAAACAAATCATTTTTTATACAAAAATGTTTTCTTACTACCTCGACTCAAAATACGTTGTTTCGTCCCCGATTTCACGGCAGAAAGTTTACGTTTCTTGCATTGGTCAAGCTATACGCGCACACTCTAATAGCGGGAGTAAAAATTTTTTAGTCGCGTGCTTAACATTTAAATTTCGTACTGCCAACATGAGAAACACAAAAATATGACAGTTTTAAACCATAATTTTGCAATTATAACAACAAATAAACAATTTATGTTTTTACTTTTTTACTTTTTATGTTGTTTTAAGTGTTTAATGGTACTTTTATTTGTTATAAAGTAGTAATTTGTTAATTAAAATACAACCTTTTATTTTTACTGTATTGGCACCGCTGAATTACCATGACAACGCTACAGTTTGATTGATTTTGAATGTAAACGTCAGAATTAAATTAAACGTCAGATTTTAATTTTGACACAATTTTTTTTATATACATTTAATTTTTTCCCGTATTTTCTGCAGGGTAGTAAGAAAAATAGTATACACTACACGGGCAGAAAGTGTGAGAGTCCTGAACTGCGCGCCATGATGCCCTCGGCTTCGCCTCGGGCATCATGGCGCGCAGTGCAGGAATCTCACACTTTCTGCCCTTGTAGTGTAATATACTATTTTTGATTGGTAGTTTTTAAGTTATAAGGTTATTCTTTATTTAAATTTAAATTTAAAATAAAAAATAAAGAAATTAATACAATAACGTTTTAAATATAAAAAGTTAAAATTTGTTAATAAGAACAAAGTTAATATTATGATTTAAAGTAGATTTTTTGACAGGAATTGTCAGAAAATACATCTGTTAACCAGGTTAACTTAAAGTCGCTGTAGATGTGTTGTATATTTTCATGGCTAGTTTTTTTGTTTTTCTAGTATTTAAAAAAATCAATAAAAGGTAACTCTATGGAATATCTCCTCTACGTAAAATGAGTTTGTCTGTAAAAATTTCGTTTACGACAGCTAAAGATTCGTTAGAAGTTTTGCATGCTGCGCCACTTTGTTCATCCATTAAGGATTCAAAATATTGCAATTTTCTTGTCGAACAAAAGCTTTACCTTCTTTAATCTATTTATTTAATTATTTATATTAACCTTTTAACCTAAAATGTTCTACTACCTATTTTCACATACACTAAAACGTGACGTTTACTTATAATGAATTTTAAACCGCTTATCTTTTTGATCCACAAGGTGACCAAAAATATTGTGAGCACTTTGTCCATTTTTTTTAAATGGTGGCGGTGGGTTGGGTTTTAAATGGTAAATCATTTTATGTAAATTTTGTTGCAATTAAGTTGTTTATCGAAGAGCAAAGCCCTTTTTGTGTATGTGTACCAAAACAAGCAGCCCCCAATGTATCACTCTTATTACCAAAGGTTTAAAGCTACTGGATCTACAGGACTCAAAGTGCGTTTTACGAAATGTTACAAGAAAACATTACAAGTTAATATTACAATAAAATATTGCAAACAATTTAAGTCAAACATGCCTTAAAAATCGTATGTCCTAGTTTATTTTTCAAATGTCAAATCTGTCAAAATCAAATTTTTCATAATGTTTTATTCTAGGTAGGTATTTGATTTCAAGTTATTTTTTGCTTGTATAATTACTATTATATTGTTTTGGAAAGGTTTAATGTGCCTTCCTTAAAG